TAGAAAGTATTACTAATAATTGCCAAAACGACAAGTATAATAGTGATAATAGCTTTTAGTAATCCTTTAGACATATCGGCATTCTAATAAGTCTGTTAATGAATCAAATCATATTATAAATAAGCTTACTTCTAATAAAATGAATCTATCTTTCTTTCTTCTTGTTTATATATTTTCTTGGTAATAAATTTTCACTTGTCCATAATTTTTTCACATTATAATGGGTCACTAAAAGAGGTTTTTCATTAAAAAAACTATTGAAAAAGCAAATTACTCCCCCAAAAACCAGCTTCATAAAGCTTGTTATTGCAATAGTTGTAACGGTAACCTTGTGGATTCATGAACTAAAAAAGCCCATATGTTAAAAAATAGCTTTAAGGGTATAACAAGAAATTATCGTGATGCTGATGAATCTTCAAATAGGGTGGCAGTTATCTCTACAATTGTGGATATGGATATTCATGAAGAACCAATGCATATTGAACTTCTGAATATAGATATCCATAAAGAACCAATGCATATTAATAGTTCGGACAATGACTCTGATGTATCTTCATGTAAAAAAGATTTTAGTTTCATTGCTAAAAGTCAATCTAAAAAGGGAAAGAAACTGGTTAGAAACGGGGAAGGAGGGGTACACAAAATCTTTATTTCGTAGAGAATTTTTTCTCTGACGAAGAAGATGTCGTTGAAGACTTATCAGACGGTGAAGATGATGAATTATCTGACCAAGAAATTAATTTTAATGCACCGGAAAATATTGGAGAAGAAACGAAACAACCGAAACAATCTTTTGGCCTTATAGATATGCTTAAAGGTTTTGTATGAATCCTTTTGTGGATTCTAAAATATCAAGAAAAGTATAAGTTATCCGATACAGCTACTGAATCTCTAATAAAATTTATCCGGTATCTCTTAATTCTTCATGATGAAAAAACATACTTTTCTTTTTCTTCATCACTGAAAATGGCATGAACAAATCTTGGTGTCTGTGCTCATCTGATCAAATATGCAACATGTGAGCAATGTTGCAAATTATACAAAGTAACGAATGTATCAACCACCAAACCAAACTTAGTTTCTAAAATAAGCCATTGTACTTTTCAAGACCTTCTGAATTATTCAATAGCCAATAAAAGAAGCCCTTGCAGTTATCCCATTACAAAAAAAATTCATATATCAAAAGGTGTCATATATAAACCTTCATTAATTTTTCTAAGAGTTTTTTTAAAACATCAATTTCAGTTGTTATATAACCGGAAGGGGTTTGAAGTGTCTTGTAGAAAATAGACAGAAAGACTTAATGACTCTAAGCGTCTTTCTGACATATTTGACAGAAGAATTTGGAAAACTTTTCAAGATCCAAATGAAGATTTACCATTCTTCTAAAAGAAACTATTGGATCGTAATTTGGGTTTGATGATTAACTTAGATTGGTTCCAACCATTCGATAGTTCTTCATACAGTGTCAGAGCAATTTATGGCGTCATATGCAATCTTCCATGTGATGAGCGATTTAAGCCGACAAACATATTGACATTGGCATTAATACCTGGACTCAATGAATCTAAACTACATTGACTAAACTATTATCTGGCACCATTAATTGATCAATTGGTCGATTTGTGGCATAGTAACTAACAAATTTAATATCAAATCGGATCAAGTCTGTTATAGGTAATTCCGGTAAAGCTTCACTATCGCTAAGCTGTGTCATGAGATCACATGACTTGACCAAAATTACATATGTAATTTTGGTCAAGTCATGTGATCTCATGACACAGCTTAGCGATAGTGAAGCTTTACCGGAATTACCTATAACAGACTTGATCCGTTAAGTCTTTATTGTTATTATAATTAACATAAATTCAGGAGTAGAATTGTCAAGCACTTTCGAAAGTTCTACAGGCAAATTTATTAGAGCCGCAGTAATATGTTGTTCTTGCGATATTCCTGCTGCAAGAAAGCTATGTGGACACATTTCAGCTAGAATTGCTTGTCATAGATGTTTAAAGAGGGCCAATTTTGACCAAAGAAATCAGCCAAACTTTGGTGGTTTTGCTGATATGGATGAATGGTTTGTTGAAAGAAATATCAATGAAATTCGGCAAAATGCCGTCACGTGGAAAGATTGTAATACTGAAGATGCAAGAAGGAAGCATACATCAGAAACTTTAGTCCGTTGGTCAGAAATTTATCGTCTCACTTATTTTAATTCGGTTCGGTTTCTTGTAATCGATCTAATGCATTGCCTATTTTTAGGCATTGCTAAGTGGATCGTTAAATTATGGATTGATGAAGGGATTCTAATGCCGCATGATCAGTGATGTAAATTGGATATGCGCAGTAGGCGCAGCGCACATAGATTTAAATTTGCGCATATATTATTAAGATAATTAGTGCTCTTCATATACCGTATATAGCGCAAATTTTGCCTTATACGCGCGAATATTTGTCTCATATGCGCAAAATTTGCTCTATTTGCGCAAAATTTGCCCCATACACACAAACTTTGCCTCATATGTGCAAAAGTTTGCCTCATACGCGCAAAAGTTTGCCTCATGTGCGCTATCACAAATCACTGATCAGTGCTCTGTAAAATATAATTTTTTTTGTTTCAAAGATCCCGTAGCCATAAAAACTTTTATTAGAAACATCCTGGCTAATAGTGCCGGATATTAAACTTTATTAAGTTTTATTGAGGATGTGTAGCATACATTATAGTGAATATAATTGCACAAGATATCATTGTAATTAGCTGAATTCATGCTATATAGCATTAGCCGGTGGTTTTCTACACTAACAAAATGACAAGATGGGAAAATTTGGATGCAAATTTCCTTTCTAATATAATTTGTGCTTGCTGTAACAGCTGTTCTTATATTTGACCTATCAGTATCAATTATAATTTATCTGAAATAGGAAACTCTTTAAATCGTACTTATCTTGAACACATGTTCTTGTTTAATCATATGCCCGATTCGATCAAATTGACCATTTGTACTGGTTTCAACTAGAATTTAGACTTGCGCAACCTGGCAAAGTCACTTCTAATATATCTCCTGCCTTGCCATTTTTTCGATCTGTTGACCTTCTGTCAACTTAAGCAAATAATTTGATAATTTTTAAGATTTTTTCTCTTTAATTTTTAACTATTCTTTTAATCAGCAATGAATAGTTCTAAAAAAAATAAAAAAAGTATAAACCGGTTTTTTCCTTCTACTGAATCAATGAATAATAAAAAAAAAAAAAATTTATCACAAGAAAAAAGTAAAGATCAAGAAGAATTATCTTCTGGTTCAGATACGGTACAAGTATCAGATACAGAACAAGTATCAAATACAGAACAAACATCAGACACAGAACAAATATCAGATACAGAACAAGTATTCACCAAAAGATCTCATACTCGTAAAGACTCAGATCAAAATTGGTTTAAGATATATCCATGGTTAAAAAAAGAAGTAATTAAAAATAAAGTTGTATTATTTTGCACATTATGTAGAGAAAGAAACGAGAAGACAGTATTTGCAATAGGTATAACAAAATATCGGTTAGAAAGTATTAAAAATCATATAAAAACAACTGAGCACAAAGAATCTGAAGATTTTTCTAAACCGCAACAAACAAAAATTATTACTAATTTTGCAAAACAATTGGACATCGATAAATTAAATATTATATCACTTATGAGAAATGTTTATTTCTGTGCTAAAAATCAATCTATTTCCTAATATATACGAATTAGTCACAACTCAAATTCGTAATCATAAAAAATATATTACTTCAGATAGAGTATGTGTTCTCAAAACACCACAATATAAAAAAAATAAAACAAAAGCGTCATATGGTAGTTATACGAATAACAATTTAGGAAATAGATTTTAAGCTAGTATTTGTGATGTTATTGAAGAAAGTTTATTTGAAGAATTAAACGCTTCTAAATACTGGAGCTTGATGATTGATGAATCTAGCACTATTTCAGATGACAAACATTTAGCAATTGTAGTTAAATTTTTAATAAATAATGTTCTATATATGTGTTATTTTGGAATGCTTAATTTAGAAGAAGCTAATGCTCTTTATATTTTTACTCAATTAAAATTATTTTTCGAATCAAAAAATTTAAATTTTAATTCTTTAATTCATTTTGGTTTGGACGGCGCATCTACTATGCTAGGTAATTTATTAAAGATATGCCTTGTGCAAGATTTTAATATTATTCTCATATGAACTAATCATCAAAAGAAAACCTACATGCTGGCTTTCAATTATATTCTGTATATAGTTAGTCGTCTATAAAAAATATATCATTATGATAGACTTTCTATAGACAACTAACTATATACGAAATATAATTGAAAGCTAATATGTGGATTTTCTCTTGACGGCACTTATATGACCTCATGAATAGTTTGTTTTATTAATAAAATAAATTTTTTTTGTATGAAGTTATTGCGCATTTCATACAAGATTATATAACTATGAAATAGTTTAAAATTTAATTAATCAGCTATTATTAATTTTATAGGACATCAAAGTAGAGTATCAGCTAGATTAAAAAATTTGAATCCATTTATATCGTCAAACCATTGTATAGCACATCGATTACATTTAGCTGGCAAAGATGCTTCTTTAAAAGTTGAATATTTTAAAGAGTATGAAAAAATTTTATACAAAATTTATTCATACTTTAGTCGATCTTATAAACGTCAAAAATGTTACATCTTATGCAGGTATATATATTTATTAGCAATAATATTATATGAATATATATCGTCAATAAAAATAAAGCAGATTGATATTTTTTTAAAATGTTAATCTGCTTTATTTCTATTGACGGCAGCCTATATAATAAACTTGATTTGTAATAAACTTTAAATTTTAATTGACGATTCTCCAGTCAACTGAAGAATGATCATAGTAAAACGTGACGCGGTTCTATATATAAATTACTATA